GGCCTTTGCCCAGTTTCGGGGGGCTGAAAGGTGTTGGTTTTTACAGCCCATAAGGGGAACAGAAGGAAAAAAGGAAAAAAAAAAATCATTGCAGCACCTAAGGGCCAGGCCAGCAGCAACAACCCCTCGTCCGGGCTGAAGCAGGTTGTGCAAGGGGAGCATGACCAGACCTCCATCTGCTTTTATTTAACAATAGGGAAAAGGAGTGTTAAATAAAGCTTTCCCCCAGCTCCACGGAGCTCTGTGAGGAGGATTCCCACCCCTCAGTGCCTGCAGGCGAAGGGCTCTCTTCCCCAGGGAGGGAGGATGGAGGGAAGGTAAAGCTGTGGGTCTCTGCTCATCGATGGGAAGGTCCCTAATCGCAGGCAACAGGGCAAAAGTTTTGTCTGAAACAGATCTCAGCACCCTTGAGTGATGCTACTGCATCCTCGGGCTGCCAGTGCCTCTGAACATTCTGGTGACACAACCCGGATTAACAAAGCACAGACTTACCGGCTCTAAAGAAGATGTTTATTTAGGTACTGCAGGCTGCATTGCATGTATAATACAATATTACAGTCATTTAGTATTGTACAGAAATAATTAAAAACTTTACAGCTCATTACAAAGTCTCTTTGGATTTCAGCTCATTTAAAGTACACGGATCGACACGTAACACCGCAGTGTCAACAGCCACTCTATATACAGACCCACTACATTTACAGAAATCAACAGGACGGGGAGCTGGGAAAGGCTCTCCCGAGACACGGCGGGGGTTTGGGGGGGTGAAAAAAAAAAAAAAAGCCAAAGGGCCGTGGGGTGCTGGGAGCAGGCTGGGGGCACCCAGGGCAGGGAGGGCTGAGGCCAGGTGGGTCCCAGCCCGGTGGGCTCTCAGAACGTGGCTCCTCTGCTGCCTCAGGGTGAGTCTGGCAGCAGAAAGCGACGGGAGAGCAGCTGCTCCTACCCAACAGCAGCAGCAACGCTCCTCGGAGAGCAGCACTGTCCCTCCTGCCCCGCGCTCCCCACGCCCGCCGGGTTTCAGTCCCAACCCACCTCCCCACGCTCTCCCGCTGCAGATGCCAGAGCCAGGACAAGGCTTAGCAAGGCTAAACCCAGCCTAGCCGGGGGCTCACAGCGGAGAGCAGCAGCTCAGACATTCTTGGGGGTGAAAAACCCAGCAGGTGGTTTAGCAGGAGGGTGGAGAGAGCAGAAACCAGAGGTGGGCAAAGATGCAGAAACAAGACACTTATTTGCGACCCCAGCTGCAGAGTATTTTGTCGTGTGACCAGCCTGCACTTCACTTGTCACCATCTTCCTTTCCTAAGGGCCAGGCAGCCCACAGGCCGGTAGGAAATTCCAGCCCCTGACACAGGGGTAAGGCACTGGGAAAACTGAACGTCTCGTGCACAGAACTGGCAGTACCAGCCGAAGGACAACAAGCATCGACACAGAAAAGACTTCAGCAGCTCCGTTACTGTACGCACGGGTCTGTGCCACACCCAAGCTCGGTTTGTCCAGGTTTTCACGACGGGTAGGTAGGAAAAAGGGGGGGTTCTTGGTTTGTACGACAGCAAAGAGGAGCTGAACATCCCACCTCGCAGGCAGCCTCCATCTCAACCACTGACAAAACTCTCTTCTTACAAGCTCGGGCAGTATTACCACACAGAACTCGTTTCTATTCGTTGTCCTCAACTAAACTACTCATTAAACAGCAAAGGGCCACGGCCCTCCAACTGAGAAGGTGTTATGTTGGCCACAGAGATCAAAACACCATGAGCGTGCTGAAGATAACACAGGAAAAAGGCTTGGCTTGGTTTGAGAAAAGCCCAAAAGTTCCTCTAAGAAAGCATCCCCGTGGCTGACCCAGAGCAAACGACTGCCCACTGCAGAACCCCGCGGCCCCCGCAGAGGAAGGGACCTGCAGACGCGGGTTTGGGCCGTTACGTTTCCTACCTGCCAACACACATTTTCTACACCCAGAACCCAAGACCCATCCGCAGTTCAGGGACACAGAACGCAAGCTTGCACCACCGAGCAGACACAGGAGATGAGACGCTCGCTACAAGTTACAGTTCCTGCATTAAATATTCTTTTTCCCTGTATAAAGTGCATGAAAATATTGGAAAATATGCATAGCTACTAACATGCCAGCCACAGCTGCTGGGGCAGTTGCAGTCAAGAGCACCTTCTCCTTTATGCTGAGTGTAGAGTTTTCCCAATGTTATCAATAATAATAATAATAATAAAAAAATATTACCTTCACTGTGGTTTTAAACTGTTTTCTGGTTAGTTGGCTTAGCTGGTGCAAAGTAACAGATGGCTTTTGAGTAGAGGGGTGTGCACTTACTGTGCCAAAATCTTGGAAAATATCTTTTGAAGAAACCTCACGTGCCCAGGAAAGCCGGGATGAGCAGGAGGGAGTCAGAGAAGTCCTCTAAGAACATCCTCATGGCCAAATTTGATTTGTTTGGCTTTCCGGAGCTTGTCCTGAATCAGGGTGATTTGGTTAGGGTGGCTTTGTTTTTGGGGCAGGCTTCAGGGTGGGATCTGAGGAGAGGTTTAAGCTTCAAAAGTCAAACGAGACAGTAAAAACCAAGAGAGCTACGAGTCAAATCCTCCCTCCACCCAAGCCAACCAGCTGCTCTGCTAACAGAGCTGCTGCACCACGCTCACTGCCCACTGGTGGTTCAAAACACACCAGGCACAGTTAAGATGTTTGCTTCCAGGACAAGTTATCCTAGAGGAGGCACCAAGTATGTTCTGCTCAAAATGTCTTTCCTACCCCTCTAAACACAGGCAGCATGGTTTTGTACCACGATTGAGGGTGGGTGGATGAGGAAATCCACCCGTATCAGCCTCCGACCACGTGCCCCAGATATGCAAACATACATCCTTACGTGGTCAGAGCTGCAGTACAAATAAAACCAGAGGAATTTACAGCAGGGAGCATAAGGAGAGAACTATTAACCCAACTGCCTTCTGCCTGACCCGCTCACCCCTGAGACTTTGATACCTTTACATGGGTCCCACACAACTCCAGTCTTCAGAGACAGCGGTGCAAGAAAAGAGGCTTCAAAAGGACTTGGACAGGTTCTTCCCTTCATATCTCCCCCCCTACCCCTTCCAAAGGGGCCACCTAGCAAACATCAAGAAGTTTTAAAGATATTCCTAAATCCAGTAAATGAAATGCTGAGACTGAAAACCACAACTGTCGGTGAGGGGCCGTTTCACATCAGTGAACTTTCTGCAGCACGTCAGAACAAAGTGCAATTAGAAAAAGGGTAAAGATGGATTTTAGAAAACTTACAAGGCAGTACAAAGAGGCATCGTATTAATTAGCAGGTGGTCTTTCATCAGCAAGACTCATCACACCCCAAAACGAAACGTCCTTTTGCTGCACGAACCACATCTAGAAAAACAGTTACATTTTTTTTTAAAAAAAACCAGGATTTTAGGGTCTGAATTCTTTATTACTGTATTTCTCCCATCGTCCTGGCTTGAGCGGACAGGAGCTTCGTGCAAAGGAAAAGGAGGAAAAACTGTACACTAAAAATATCTTTAAAAGCTGGTCTGTACATTTTATATTAAGATTTCTTTACTAAAATTTAGGAAACACTGACACTAGTTACACAAATTGAAAGGATATATGAATCCCTGGCAGTACTATGCATGCCGCATTGTAACCCATCCCACTTATTTCTGCTACAGATTAGTTTCTATTTTAATTTTATTCCTTCTGCATAAATGATATTAATTACAGTAAATCAGCATAATTATCTCCTTCGCTAAGCATCCCTATCTCCTTTGATGACAATGTATCTTTCCCTTGGACCTCTGAACCAGATGGCTAAGGCACTTAGATACCCATGTGCAGCACGGGCGGCAACTAGATACATATTAAAATTTAATCATTAATTTAGCATCCTAAATATTCCCCACGTAGATAAAATGTCTATTGCTCAAGCTGTCCAATACCCCCCCGCGATGACTAAACAAGATATAAACAGCTCAGAATAGAAAAGTCTGTGGCCTTCCTTGATCTGTTAGAAAACGAGCGTGCGTACGTCGATGCGCGCACACACGTACAGGGATGGAGCATCTGTGCCACAGGCAGTTAAAAAACTCGTAAGGGGTTACCAAAAATAAAACCAAGTTTTATAAAAGCCAGCCCAAACCTCCCGTTTTCAAGAGAGAGATCAGTTTTGGGGGACGACTCCTCAGCTGTGCTTTCGCGCGCCGCTAGGACGGTTCAGCTGGCGAGGGAGGCACCTCCTCCTCGGATGGATGCTCAGCAGGGTGCTAGTGGGGCTCCTCTGTGCAACGTCAGGCGGTGGATGATTGTAAAGCGCAAACATTTCATCGTATTTTAAAACAATAAATAAAAATAAATAGACTGGATTAATCCCATTACGAGGACAGCGACCCTCTGCTTTGTATAACTGGTAAAAATCCGAAGGCTGGGTGGAGGATTGAAGCACTGAAGTGCCGAGATCTCTGCAAAAACCTTCTTGGGCCAGAGGGCAGAACCAACAAGAAGAAGGTCCTGACACTTTGGGGTAAGTGGGAGAGGGGATCCTGTCGCAGTGAGAGCGTATGTTAAATAGATTAGACAGCAAATTCACTCAACTCCCCTCTTTCCTAAAAAGAAGGGATCAAAAATATGACAGAGTGGGTCACAGGCCTTCTCCTGTCCCCAACAAATCAGCTAGAAAGATTGTGCTGATTTCCATGGAAGGACAGAGGGACAACAGGACAGTAATGAAAACAGGCACTGGTCCCAACTGGTCCCAGGTCACATCACCAAAAAGCTGTTGTTTTTTTAAATAAAGGGGCTCGGGGGTTCTTTATTTCCAAATAAAAGTTTTACGTTTGCTTCTCTGCCTGTCTGGAATCAATATAACTTTGCCCTTTCACCAAGTATGTGACATGGAAACAGCTCTTATGAAATTAGAAAAGAACTGTTATTTGGGGGAGTTGTTTTTTGGTTTGGGTTTTGTTTTTTGTTTTGGGGTTTTTTTTTTAGAATTGCCAGTCACACCGAGAGATGCACCAGTGTGTGGGTAGTATTTTATAGCTATTGGAAAGCCATAATTTGAACAATTTATACATCTCTTCCTTCTCTGAAAGGTGGAACAGAGCAGAGCTTACACCCACCCACCGCCTGCCGTCCGTCGTACCCTGAAGCGTCACAATTTGTAACAGGAAACGAAGGACGAAGATCCAGCACCATGACAAGGCAAAGAATTAACATGTCAATCACCCAAAGCAGAGGGAGGAAAACAAACAAACAAACAAACAACCTTCATTAGTGTTTGCCACAAACCAGAAGTTCACATGGATGGTTGAGCTTCCCCTGGCTGCGTCGCGCGGCGTTTGCTGCGGTGGGTAGGGCTGTCTCAGTTTGCCCAGGATTTCCTGTTCTCTGCGTTTTTCTGGCTCTTCTCCAGCCGCAGCATGGATCCTCCTTCTGATTTCGCCAGGGCTGTGAGTGAAGCCAGGTTGGAGGCTGACCCGGAGAAGTTGCTGCTCTTCCTGTTCTCAGCGGCGGCTCCTCCTTGCAACCTCAAGCCGGTGCTGCGCCGTCTTGCCGGTCCCGTGGCCTTTTTAACTCTGCCTGGTTTCACCAGCAATCCGTAGCCTGGGTTGCATCTGAAATACTGCTTCCCTCCAATCGAGCCGTCATTCTTACCTTTGACAAGAAGAGAAAGAAAGATGATGGACAAAATGGTTTTTATCCCATGCGTACGGTGTGCTACTAGGAGGATACCAGAAGAAGAAAATGCTGAAAGGGAGAACGACTGTGTCCTGTGAGTACACTGTGAAGGCAAACACCCAGGAGGAGAGCGTGCTACGGGCACTAGAGGACAAAGCTGGTACACTTACTGATATAAAGACAAGTCTTCCAACTACCAGACGAGTAGAGAAGTGGGAGCAGCCTTCCCACAAAAGAGGGACCTGGGGGTGTTGATGGACAACTGGCTGAACAGGAGCCAGCAGTGTGCCCAGGGGGCCAAGGAGGCCAACGGCATCCTGGCTTGTGTCAGCGCTAACATGGCCAGCAGAGACAGGGAAGGGATCTGAGCCCTGGGCTCGGCACTGGGGAGGCCGCCCCTCGATTCCTGGGTTCAGTTTTGGGCCCCTCACCCCAAAAAGGCCATTGAGTGACTCGAGCGTGGGCAGAGAAGGGCAACGGAGCTGGGGCAGGGTCTGGAGCACAGGTCTGCTGGGGAGCGGCTGGGGGAACTGGGGGGTTCAGTCTGGAGCAGAGGAGGCTGAGGGGAGACCTCCTGGCCCTCGGCAACTCCCTGCCAGGAGGGGGCAGAGAGGGGGGATGAGTCTCTGGAGCCAAGGAGCCAGCGCCAGGCCCCGAGGGAATGGCCTCAAGCTGCCCAGGGCAGGGTCAGGCTGGCTCTGAGGAAGGATTTCTGTGCAGAAGGGGCTGTTGGGCGTTGGGATGGGCTGCCCAGGGCAGGGGGGAGTCCCCGGGATCCCTGGAGGGGTTGAAGAGTCGGGCTGAGCCAGCGCTGAGGGATCTGGGGGAGTTGGGAACGGTCAATGTTAGGTTAATGATTGGACTGGATGATCTTCAAGGTCCTTTCCAACCTAGTTAATTCTATGATTATGTGAAAAGTGAAGATAAGTCAGCTGGTTTTATAGCTGAACTTGATAAAATTGTAAGATTAGAGGAAGCAGCTGCCTGCGACAGCGGAAGGTTGGTCTTGACTCAGGTGGCTCCTGCAGGCTGGTGCTCCAGTGACACCAGTATAGCTCACTGCTGAACCCCAGCAAAGCCACTGCACGGAGACAGTTAGTCTGATGGGACACTCCACCTTATTCTTCCTCCCCACTGTTCAGCAGAATTCTTTAATTTCACCAAAAGTCTTAAATAATCAGTTTAGCAACAGATGCATTCACAAACTACCAGGAAGGAAGAAAAAAAGACAGTTCAAAGAGCTTTTGGTTTTCCGAGTTTAGGAGAGTCTGTTGTTGAGAAAACGTGCTCTTTCCATGTCATAAAACCTTCACAGAACAGAAAGAATAATTTCTTTATGCTGAAGCTGTTGAGTTCTTTCTATTTCTCCCTTTATATAATTTAAAATTCTCACAATCACTGTTCTGAGTAGTGGGGCAGAGACCACTCCCATCTGTAAAGGGAAGGCAAAAGAAGACAACAGCTCTTTAATGACATAAGGTCACTCCTTTTGTTTTACAGGTGTTTCCTTCTCTCTACACCATTACCACGTTGGGTCCAATATACCCTCACGTGGCCAAGGACTTGTTTGTAGTGTGACAAAGATACAAGTTTGTGACCGTATTTCTCAAGTGAAGCTCCAGATGTGCTAGAAAACAGTTACACTCCAACATGTCAGGGACTTAATCCTTGTGTGGAAACAGAAGGGGGAAAAAATATCCAGTAACATCAGCAGTTGAGTCCAACAGACCAAAAATTTTGTAGCTGTTTGACTCTTCCACGGGCAGCAAAGCTGAGGCTTACTGGCTACATGCAAACAGCTTAACAGAATTAGCACTGTGGACTAGAGTAGCCAGACTGGGAGGGAAGGTGATTTTCCAAAACTAAAATGAATCTGTAAATATATATTTTTTTTCTTTTTTTTAAAATAGAGTGTGAATTCAGGACTGAATTGGGTCTACAACTTTCAAAGGGATTAGAGCTACAGTTTGCTTTCCAGGATGGCAAACTCCAGAGAGTTTTTTGAAACCAGCTGAAAACACACCATCCAGTTTAGCTTTTATGAGCACACCATGCGCAGAGAAGATAACTGCTCACTTAATGAGAGTTCTGGATCCTTGACACAGTATTTATCTCGGTGAACGGCTCCAATCCCAGGGAAGCGTGCAGCAGGCGAGTGTGGGCAACTCCCTGGGACATGCTGATTCACCAAACAGAGCCTGCACTGCAGACCTGGAAAGCTACAGCTTGGTTAAAAGGATTTAAATAAGGAGCTTTATGTGCCCTGGGTAAACCAAACCCTCTCAAACTATCAAAGACAGCCCTATCTACTGCTTGTCTCTTGGATTTTCCACTAGCACGCCCTGCCTTCCCCCAACCCTGCCTACTCTTGGAGAAAATGAGTCCCAGGAAAGTGGACATGAACTCGCAGAAGAAAGGAGTCTATGAAGCCTGGGGCTCCAGCAGAGAACAAATGCCAGCCATCATCTTTCTTTCATCTTATGCTAAAGTCAGTTTTTCCATATCATGCTACAACAGCACATATGAACAGAGCTTCCCTGGGAACAGCACCCTAGTTTCCAAAATACATGTATTACAGCCTAAATTCTGCAAAGTCTATTGTTGTACAGGTAAGAGTCAGACAGGAACGACAAATGAGAAGCTGCAAGAAACCTCAAATCATCTCTGTGTCCTGGTGGTCAACGTTATGATTATTTCCTACTGGTTTTCACACATAGAGATACATAGACACACACACACACACAGTCAGTCTTTTGAAATTTTACAGCTTATTTTAAAATAGCCTGTGAAAGACTAGTTAACCTGTTAAAGAGACTCTGCAACTTATTTAGTCTAAATGTTCCTTTGCTCATTTGAATCCCTGTTGTGTTTTGGACACCTTCAAGCTCAGAGCAGAAGCCCTGATGATCTTTGGACACAAGGAGTGTCTCGTGCAACTACAGCTTTACTGAGCTGCACTGTAAAAGCAATCCTGATCCCCACCTCCATTCTGAGAAGCCAAGGAAATAACTGAAAAGGGACACACAGTTCAGTCAGAGGTCAGTCAGACTAGGCAGACTGGAAAAAGATAAGAGCAGGGAAAGATCTTTACTATTTCCTGTCTCAAAATGAACCCAGTAACGGCTAATGAAACCCCTCCTCATCAAAAAGGGGCATAAAAATGAGCACTGCAAACTCTGACATCCCGTCTGCTTTACACCCAGCCTAGATCATTATTTTACCTGAAGGTAAATCCAGTTCGACACCAACCCATGTTCCCTCCTGAAAGTCTGTGGGCCCGATGTATCTAACAGTGCCCATCTTATTTGCGCCAACGGTGACATATTCTCCCTCTTTCAGCCACTCAGGAATTTCACTGGCATCTTCAGAGTCAGAAGTCACCTCCAGTTTTTCTTCTGCCATCTCTGACCCGTTATGGTTCAGTCCACGGGCAGCAGACGTGCTCTTTTCTCCTTCTTGCTGCTCTTCTGTGTTTAGTGAAGACATGGGATCTGTCCCCAGCATGCTTGTGAAGGACTTCAGCTCTGATGTCTTGACTTTCTGGATTTTGAAGGGGGAAGCTGGAATGCCAGGTGAGGACAATTGGTCAGGAAGAATCTGTGGTTTGGAAAACCCCTGTTCTGAAGCCCCAGAAGCCATTTCTTTTTTCCTAGCTTGTCCTGCTGACTCCATTGATTGTTTGGATAACAACTCCTTCTTTGGAGTGGAGGTAGAGAGAAAGGTTTTTACATCAGTGGCTACAGAGGCATCACTTGCCTGCTCGCTTTGAGTCACAGGAGATGTGCAAGATTTTGATTTCATAGCATCATTTCCATTCACTTCAGTGCTGTCTTTGGGTCTTGAGTGAGCACTTTGAAGGCTGGAGGCATGTGGACTCTCTCTCTTAGCGCTGAGACAGCTTTCTGAAGAACTGTCTGAGTGCCCTGGCATGTCCAAAGAAGAGACCTGAGCTGCAGTGGGAGCTGGGAAGTCACTCACTGCGGGCACCTGACCTCCTGCTTGAGCCACAGCATCGCTTCCTGCTGCGAGGGCTTCAGAGAGGGTGGCTGTCGAGACACTGTGAGAGAAGTACCCACTGGAGGCTTCACTCAGAGGACTTGGAGGTCCTTCCTGGGAGTCCTGTGCCGGGGTGTCTCCCGTGGGCTGCTGCAAAGGCACTTTGGGTGTCTTTTCCTGACTCTTGTCCACCTCAGCTGTCTGTGCTGCAGTTTCAAGTGGCTGTTTCCCCGCTTCCTCTTGGTTAATCTGAAACAGAAGAGGATAAGGACCATGGAGCTCTGTTATCCAAAATCTCTGGGCTAAAAGGATAGATACAAGGTCTCTGGGACGTACTAAGGTCTTCAGCTTATCTAAATCCCTGCGTAGCTGCAATCTCCCAAAGATGCAAGCTGATCCGAAGTCAGCTTTGCAAACCTGGTAGGATTGTCAGCTCATTTCTTCCATTAATAAGAAAAGTGTCAACCAAAAGAAATACGTTCCCCAATATTTACTGAAAAATTATTTATATTACAGGAATGGTCATTTGGTGTTTGAATAGCAGGATTTATATGAAATGTGAAACAGCCATGATCTATAAGTCTCTCACAGTTATTTGGCTTAACTCTCACGATTGATAAATCATGCCTCTCCAACTAAACTGTCATTTATGTCCCCGTTTCCAAATGCCATTCCCACCTCAATGCCGCCAGCACCACACACTTTCAGAGTATGAAATTAACTGCACCTCATGAGATTAACAGCCCATTTTAGTGATGTATTTCTTGGCTGTAAAGTTTACTAAATCTGATAGATCAATATCTTTTGCCAGCACATGTACTCTAAAAGATTAGGATGTCTCTAAATCTCTTTGGGAGGGAGGGAGGAGGCTGCTATTATGAAGAAGGGAAAAAAAAAAGTGGTTGGAGGACAGCAGTTTTGAACATATCCTGTCTTAACTCAGGCCTGTATTTTTGTTTACTCTTCAAAATTTTGTGGTTTATCCCATCTAGTGGTTAGGTGTCCCAAACTACAGGATTTTCACCTTACTCGGAAGTGCCTTTTCCACTGGAAACTTAAGTGGCATTTGAAGAAACAGGGATTTGATTGAATTACAGGAATTTCAGAACCAAAGGCTAGCTTGCTATTGCTAAGTGAAATGTAATACAGAAAAGTTTTTTTAAATATTCTTGTAGATTAAAGACATCTTTTTAGCTTTTCTATGGAGAGGATGGCGTGCACGTGGACTCTGGAGCTCTGCTCTTTCTTTGGGTTTTCCCTTTTAAGAGTTCAGATAACACACGTTTTACTAAGACAATAAAAGCACAGTGGGAGAAAGCTGATTTGCTATTCATAAGACTGAAGTTCTGCTGAACTGTGGGAGATCATACGGTCTATTTTCTCTCCAGCTTAGCAAGAGCCTTTTCTTCACGCTGATATCATGAATTGGCTTGAAATTTAAAAATGAGAATTAAGCTCAACACTCAGAATAACAGACACGTTCTGTTTATAGAAAGCACCAGAGCCTAGCAATTTGCCTTTTAAAGCAGCAAAACCGCTAAATTTTAGCTAGTTAACTGCTAATGCAATCATATGATTAACCAGGCTTTCAAATATGAAAGTATAACCACAATATAAGGGGAGGTTTTACCAGGACCTAACAAAACACAACAACACACACTGCTTTTAATTGTCTCACAGTGAATCAACAGTAGAAGTGCAACAGGTTTTTTAAGGAGCTAACCCAGCAGTGGCTTTTATCTCCTCTGGTTTCCAGGCAAGTGAGTATGTAAATTGTATCATCACATCCTGGGAGGTGTTTACCTGTTTTATCTTTGCAGCACTGGCATCACTACTGGCAGACTGAACCATAATTCGTGGGACAGTCTGCAGGAATAAAAAACAAAACAACAAAACAAAAACACAGAGCATCATTCACTTAAAGGATTAAATACTGTCAAACTGGTAAACATTAAAACTTATATTTGAATTTTTGGATGGAATCACAAGCAAACCTTTGTCACAAAAGGAGGGAGGATTGCTACTTTACTGCATTCTGATGCCACACTCTGAAGGCGTAAAAACCTTAACCAAGGCATCCCTGAATTTTAACAGATAAGCAGCTACAAGTACAAATTCACAATGTACAAAGTTTTCTTTTAGGCAGTTGGTCAAAGAGAGCCCACTGAGCAACCAGATGACAAAGAGATCTGAGGTTACGCTGGTCTGGCTAGCGAAATCCTCAGCTTCAGTCCATCTCCAAAACTCTTTCTCCATTTCCAGTATCTTAGTTCAGTTGAGCTTTTAGCACTGTTCGCTTTAACTCAAAAAGGAAACCAGAAATGAGATCTGTGCATCCTCTTTTCAAAGCGGGCATCACCACTGCCTGCTAGAGTGACAGAATCCCAGAATCACTGAGGTAGGAAAAGCCCCTTGGGATCATCGAGTCCAACCCTCAGCCTGACTCTACAAAGTCCTCCCCTACCCCACATCCCCCCACAGCTCATCCCAACGGCCCTGAAACCCCCCCAGGGATGGGGACTCCCCCCTCCCTGGGCAGCCTGTTCCACTCTCGGACCACTCTTGCTGGGAAACATTTTCTCCTCCTGCCCAGCCTGACCCTCCCCTGGGGCAGTTTCCAGCCGTTCCCTCTTGTCCTGTCCCTGATCCCCTGGGAGCAGAGCCCAGCACCAACCTCTCCACCTCTATGTGACGACTACACATGCCATTTGCTAACCACAACACACTGGTCCCGTGCTAGAAGAACCACTTGTGTTACGACAGTATCTTCTTCTCTATTAGATCATGGGGCTTGATACGAAGGCAACGACAATAAATGTCTTTCAGTTGCTCTGTATTCAGGTTTTTATGTTAAGATTTGAAATAATCACTCTCCTCAGACTTTAACAGCGAATTGTGACACTTGACTATAACTCTTAGGCCAAGCTGTCAACTTGGGCTGTCACGCACTGTTGACACAGGAGGGAAAGGGACCACCAGTTCAGTGGAGAACCTTGGGAAAGGGAAGCATGAAGAAAGGAGAGAGGAGAAGGCAGAAACATCTCTCTTTAGCACTGTTAAATAACATACTGCAAGTGCAGATTCATAATTTCAGGGAAAGAGCTCTTTAAGGGTGACATATTACACAATTTGGGAGCAGTCTGTTTTTGGTTTTTTTTTCTTCTTTTTTTCTCCAAGGGACTTGAGAACTCCTTCTGTTGAAATACACAGACAGCTACTTCCAGATTTCAACAATCTGTTTAAAGAACCGAAACTTTCCAGCTTAAGAGTAAGGTACTCTTCTCCTGCATCCCTTCTAAGTACAGTAAAGCAGGAATATGACTAATCCTATCCCCAAAATAAATCAACACGGGAGAAAAGAACAGCTATTATTTATCCAGAGATTGCCAGACATTAAATAAAAACAGAGTTGATCAAGGTAAAATATAAAAGAGACAAAAGACAGACAAAAACCCCAACAGGTTCACAGTGGATCAAAATAAATTTTTTAAGATGTTATAGCTTCAATTCAATAATAGAAAGCAGGAGAAGAGAGCTTTGCTTGTCATTAAACTTGCTAATAGAACCTACACCACTGAAGTGGGGTTCAGAGCAAACTGGCTCTATTTTGGGTGCACAAGGTATTAGCATTTTGAGATCCTCACTAGGACATGCACTGGAGCTCCAGGAAGCAGATGGTGACCCGAATCAGAACAAATCAACGAGGCCTAAAAATAAACAGAGCTTTAGGGCTTGTGATCCAGTGGTTTTCAGACACCTCCAGAACTTCACCTTCCTTTGGAATAAAGTAGCAACCTTCTAAGACAAAAGTATGAATCTGAAAACAACTGTAGTACTGACTTGAGACCGCATCCAGAGGTAGCTTAGAGCAATGAGGTGTGTGAGTACTCAGACTCATCCTAAATATTAACTCAGACATGCAAGGATAGCTTGATTGTCATAACAGCCAAGTGTTTCACGTTAACAAAGACTAGAGAGGAAAGGGATTACCTTTCTTAGGAGAAAACCCTGCAAATCTTAGGTTTAATAAAAGCTTATCATGGTGTTAAAGGGAGCAGAGTAGTTGGCAGAACACTTATTCCCTCCTCTTCAACCATCTTTGAACCATGGGTTGGTCCATCTGGGGAGTGCAAAGCCAAGCTATTAAATATCATCACCTTTTAATGAAAAAAGTATCTGTAGTCACAAGGCATTAGGGCTAATCCCTAGGCAGGCACTTTAAACCTTTTGCAGAGGTGCAGCTGAACCTCAGGGAGAAGCCAAGGCTCTTGAATTCAAATTATCCCAGTTAAATATCTCCATGCTCCAATGCTAAAAGCACTGCGTTTTGGCATCTCAGAAAGGTTGCGCAAAGGAAAAAACACTGTCCTTTTTGCTTCCACACTACTGTGTGGGAGCTGATGTAGCAGGGGAAACAGTCTTTTTCAGCAGAGCTTGTATCAGGCACTAAAGCCAGCTCCAAGCTCTCACACTGGCACCATAACACAACTTGATTTTTTGCCCCATTTTCTCCCAGTATACGTGCCATCTCCGGGAAGTGAGGGAAGCTGAGGTCTAGCATTGTTATCCAGAAACAAGCACTCAGAATTGGAGTTAAGAAAAAGTATTTAAAGATATTTCTCAGTTTCTTTGATTTCCTTTCCTCCCTTTAAAACAATAAACAGAAGAAAGTGTGTGTTTGGGTTTTTTTATCTCTCAAAAACCTTCAGTCTTACAGCCTGTAAATCCATGAAATCTAAAAATCTGACTGATATCAAATAACAAAAGAAAGAAAAACGTTACACTTTAATCACTCCTCATCAAGTTATCCTCCTGAAAGGATGACAAATCTCAAAACTACAATAACTTTGCCAAGCAATGTTCAGAAAAACGTGGAGAGAAAAAAGCAATTATGAGAAGTGGCACTTGCCCAACTTTGGTGTTGACAAGAAACAGATGGGCAGAAACACCCTCGCTGGGGTAGCAAGGGTACTAAAGCAAATCTTTGTTATGAAACGTAGTCAAGTTACTGGGGGGAGGGGGGGGAGATATACTGAAAACAATGTGTTTGACTATCTGTGAAGACATTTACTGGATGAAAAATATTTCTGAACTGGGAGCCAAATTCTGTCATTAAACGTTTGTAGATAGTGACTGCTAAACTAGACATATATATTTACCCGATGGCAAAACATGACCCTTTTACAGTGATAATTTTTGGCACAATTTCTTCAACCAAGCTGACAAGATACAGAGTAAGACAGAACATGAAAGCGATTCACTTTAAAGCATCTTTGAATCTTTGTAGAACAAAAATTGTCTTTTTCCTAAGAGCTGCTACTCTGCACAGTGAGTTTATAAGGATTTCTAAGAGTGTGTGTTTTCTGGTCTGACAAGAGGTTGCTGTGCATGTACTTTGAGGTGACCAAAAGTCATGTAGTTACTATTGATTAGCATAACCTGGAGACCAACCTGGTATGCTGGCGAGTTTGAACTGGAAAAGAAAATGTGTGTATCACCCCACTTAAGCACCAAAATTAGTCCTAAATGAACTATTTTTCATACCATTACATATATATATATAAAATGGGAACCTCTTCAGCGAGCTCAGAAGAACACAGTTGGCATTTCAACGTCGTTAAACATTTTGTAAAACGCCCCTGACAATGGCGACTGATGACTTCAGTACAAAGCCTTCTGACTGCATGTCACGGGATGAAAATCCTTCGATGTTAGCACCCAACACACAGAAAGTTCAGTGGCGGTTAACAGAACAGGGCCAGCATGTACAAGATTATCCTCCGAGCTCCACAAATGGTCTAGCCAAGGTTATAGCTGATGTAATCCTAAAAGGGCATTATCAGAAAACGTCCACTGCTCTTGTCTAAGCTTTACCATCCGCAGATAGGAATGACTGAGCTCAAGGACTGTCACACTGATGGTATTATGCTCACATCACCATTATAAAAGCAGCTATTGGGAACTTCTGCAGCAGGGCATAACAGTTGCTTCATGAAGTGTAGATTTAAATCAGTTTTGAGCACTTGGGATAAAATACTTTCAACAAGACACACACACAGCAATGCAGTAAGAATTCTGAATCCCCCTAGTACATAGCCAAAAAGAATTGAATCCATTTTAAAAAGGTCCTTCATTTTAAAAAGGTCCCCCCAACAATATTCCTCGCTGTCCTCAATTTCAAAATCATTCTGAAGTCATTTATCGCTCAAATATAAAATCTCCTGCATTCTAAAAGATCTGAAACCCAGTACAAGTTAGTTTGTTGGGTTTTTTGTCTTCACTAAAGACACTGTGTGTTTAAATATTAACCTAAACAAGCCCCTCTTATTCCCCCTTCCATATGTGGAACATTTCAGCCTGTAATAATACTTCTGAATTCCACATTTCTAATATACTTTATGCAAAATTAACTACACCATTTTCTATGGAGTTAAATTACTTCATTCCTAGGTCTGAGCAGATTAAAAGGGTAATTCATAACCATTTTCAAGTTAGTTCATAAAGAAGTTTCGGTGGCTTGCTCTAAGAACTTTAAACCCCATTTTTCCATACCCATTCTCATTAAAAACTATTTATAGGAGGATGATAGCGAAAAACTGAACTCAGAAAGAAATCAAAACACTAACAACTCAGTCACAAGAACCAGACACATATGAGCTCAGCTGGCCACAGAGGATCTGTTGAGCTATGCTGATTATAGCACCCAAACGATTCTTTATTTGAAACTCTGAAAAAAGCCTTCGAGATTTTTAAGAAGGTTCTCTGAGGCCACATTATTTACATTTGATTAAGGAATGTCAGTTCTAGCAATTATACTATGCACCACGCACATCCACAAAACTGTTATTTTTTAATGCACTGCCAGAAAAAGGCTTTTGTCTATTTAGATAGCTTTTCATTAACTGCTTTTCATTATTTTTTAAGATTAATTACTATGTCTGCATGAGAAGGTGAAAGAGAAAAAAATTGAGAGCTGCCCTCTCCACGTGTCACATGTCTGCATTTCTATACCACAAACCAAAAATGAATTACATTAGCACATGGAAATGCAGAGTTGTGGTTGGTTTGGGTTTTGGGTTTGCTTTTTTTTTTGTTTTTTTTAAGATAGCTGTGACTCAAGTTCTCTTATTTAAGCCATGTGCTAACAAAAAGACATTTGAGAATACAACAAGGTTCTCGAGTATGAAGGTGACCAAAATCCACTTACCAAATGCACATTGGTCAGAGGAATGTGCTTCTGCCACAGCAATGTCAAAAAACAGAAACTGAAATTTAATATGTACATTTTTAATGGCAGCACCCAATGATGCCCTAAAATGTAATTACACGGGCAGTTCCTGGAGATCAACAGGGTCATAAGGTAAAGAACAGTAATTCTGCTTGGTGCACACTATAAAAGCCTCAGCGTGTTAATAAAAAAGACAAGCTTCAAGAGCATGTACATAATATCATTAAGCACAGATAGATGAAACTCCGATTCTCCAGCCACCTGCATATTTTACACAAGTATTTTAAACTTTTCTCTCTCAGCAATAATAAGGTTTGGTAAAGCTTTAAATCTTGCACACTGCGGTACTAAGCTTTTTAAAGGATAGACTAGGAAAATAAAAAGCAATTGTAGCAATCCAAAAAGGTTTAAACTGTTGGCTTTTTTTATTTACAGACTACTGGCAATTAATTCAAAGGCATCAGATAATGGAGAAAATAGGCATTTTCTAACTTAAAGTATATAAACAGCTTCATCAGAAACCAATCTTTTAGGTACATAAACAGCTTCATCGGAAGCCATTCTGCTAGTTACATAAAGAATCCTATTATGCCAAATTAATTCAATCTAACTAATTAGAGAGCAGGAAGTTCTTTCAATTATTTTATGTGCTGTCTGAGAAACACACTTGAATACGAGAGCAGATTTCATTAATTGCGGTTCATTATTCTCCAGATTAGTTACTAAACTTGCATCAGAAGGTCAAAGACAGCAATTTTGTTAGCTGCCACCACCTTGACTGGAATGTCTCTGCATTTTTGAAACTCAGGCAACCACTGACTATAAACACAAACAGCACTGGGAAAAAGCGTTTTGTTAAGGTAACTTCTGTACGTATTCGCTTACTTTCAGGTTGGTGCCAGCCTAAGCAACGGCCTATGACTGAAATAAAAAGCTTCTAAAATAAAAAAGGGTGTTTTCGGAACAAGCGATCAGAACTGCATCTTCTGTTTACTCACACAGAGATTTGGTAACACAGCTCAGAGAGCTGCCGGGTCATGACAAACTTCAGTGATAAACTTAAAAAAAGGTTAAGTACTACTCCCTTGGAAATGATGCTCAGAAGCACTAACAATCAACTTAGCCGTAAGACCCTGCCTACAAGGTGCAACAAACCAAATCTGATTCAAGGCCAGGTTGGACGGGGCTTTGGGCAACCTGGGCTAGTGGAAGGTGGCCCTGCCTGGGGCAGGGGAGTGGGACTGGATGATCTCTGAGGTCTCTTCCAACACAAACCATTTTGTGGTTCTATGATGCTTTCTGCAGAGATGCACAGCCATCTAACCCTGGTAATTTAACTACAACATACTGGAGGTTTAATGTAACAGCTGGGTTAGCCATCCAATTCAAGACGGTTCACCAGCGTTTTTCCAGAATGGGTTTAAATGATATTAGATAATTAAGTACTCTCAAATAGTGTAACAGATAAGCACTGAAAAGTGAGCTTGACAGGGACTTGGGAAATTCTCTTTCACTGTAGTTGTCTGATGAACCAGGCGAAAGTAATAAACTGATCCACTTAGCTTTTTGGTATTTATGTTCAAACACCTGTTATTATCTATCTGCTCGTTTGCTTTTAGCCAGGAAAGGATGATTTAGATCCTTCCATTTTCTTTGTAAAGCGTTCCTTTGGTAATTTCTATTGCTGAGCCTAGCTCTCCCAATTTGTTGTTTACAGCAACAGAAGTCCATCAGTTGCCAGTTAGGGGTCAGATTCTTCTGCAATTACAGGTGAAATACCCTTTTAGCTTCACCTCTCCTTTACATTTGTTGTACTTTACCACCTACTCTCACCCTGCGCATTCATTTATGTCCCCTGCCACTGCGTATTGAAGTTTTATTCTTCTGCAGAACTAAGATGCACTGTTCTGTATCTTCTGAGACTCAGAAATATAATTTTTCGTGTCCTCTCCATCGCGTAGTTTACTACAGTTATGCAAGAATTACTAGCTGGCCGTCTCGCTCTGGCAGGTTAGCGATAAGGTGTTAAAGCTGATTGCCAAACACTGACCCCCACAGCAGCCCCATCATCCACCGAGTACAATAGCCATTCATCACCGCCACCATTTAAATTCTTCTGGCCACATTTGCATCATCAGGCCATTATAAAGAAACAGCAAGAAAGATTATGAGACATGATATTTATGATCTTAAAGCCAGCCTTGCTACAGCAGCAGGTATTTATTTTTCTGTGCTGCGCAGAGGCGGCTGTAGCTAATTCTGTAGCAGTTCCTTCAATTTTTGCTCTCTTTTCTGTGCCCTGTGATTGCTAACAGAAGTGAAGCAGCCCTGTCTCCGTACTGATAGAGCTGCAAAGAATATCTATAAAACCTCTTAAACCAGTGAGGGATATTTGTAATACCTGTTCTATTGTAAAACTAAAAGTAGCAAATAATTTTAAGATTTCCTTTTATTATACAGAGCCAGCGGTGATGGAAAAATTTAGGTTGCTCTCCAATGCAACCAAGCGTTAAAACACCACACACTCCTGTTTATATATTAGCTTTTATATTTTTTAAAACAAAGAAGAAATAGCATTGCCTCCTATTAAAATCTGCTGTGATCATGATCTGATCGAGTTTCCTTAATACAAATTAAAATCTCTTAACATAGGTGTCTTTGTAGTTTAAAAACTGACTTCAATACAAATAATGCAAGACTGATCTTGAACAGTGGGAAGGAGTGGGAACAGGTGGTTAGACTAGAGGCAGGAAATTAGGCCTCGCTTCTAATCTCAGCACTTATTGATTCAGTAAGAATTCAAGAAGTTGTGAAAGGCTCTCACTGCAACTGTAAAGAGCACCTATTTGCATCTTTTGATACCCAAATACCTTTAAGGAAAGCCGCTGTCTTAATTTTAATTCTCTACATTTCATTGATGAGTAAGTTGATATGATTCCAGTCTCAGCACTAAGACTGATGTAAGCAAAAGGCAACATGAAAATGTAAAGAATTAAATTGGAGAAGATATAGGAGTAAAATTTGCTCCTTTTATTACTTTGTAGAGAATAAAACCACAGCCAAAATAAAAATATTTTAAATATACTATATTTTTATTTGCGCTACGTCTGTCATAATTTAAAAATATTTAAGTATTAGTGTATTTATTTTTGTTCTGTTTGTTTATTTAATAGTCCACTGTACTTCTACAATGACAAAAAAAACTTCCTGTAGTCCTGGGACATTCTTCTAACAGTAAGTTTAGTTGTAGCAAACAATGGAACAGAATGTCTGGATCCAACCGCAAAAAAAATAGCTGCTTGGGGATTTTAGGGTTTGTTTTGCAGATTTCCTTTACAACATTTGTCTGCATGTCAAGAGGTGAGGAAAGGTCTAAGTTAACAGGTAACGTGCTTCCAGAACTCCAGACAAGTGAACAAGATGACAGCAGAGCGAGCTGGATGGTTAACAAAGCATGGACAGAATGCACTTGTGCAAACTTCAACAAGATCTGACTCCAGATTTATTTTCATTACAGCTTGTTAAATATTCCAGACTTACACTACAGAAGACTATTCCTCTGTAAATAAACTATAGCTTCTCAAATAAAGGAGATGATATTTATTTATAATGGGATTCTGTATTTTATCTGTTTTCTTTAAAAGCCAGTAGCATTTTCTAGTCAGCTTGACCACGCACTAGCTACTGCTCAGAGGACACAAGCCACACCTGAAGCAGGTGAAAAAAAAAAAAAAAAAAAGAAAATCAAATGCTTCTTTGACATGGGGAATAGATAAAAGAACAAACAAAAGCAACTGTCCAAAGTATATAGCAGAAGATAAAAGGTGACATGAGCTGGGGTGAGGGGTGGGAGGGAATGGTATATGAAACAACAAATTAAAAATAGAATTACATTTTCCACTTGGCAATACACAAACAACACTAAGTGCACTTCATAAATTTTACTATTGTTGCTGCAAGTGGTATTACCATAAATCATGCTGGTAGTGTACTTGGCACTTCTAAAAAGCCAAGTGGGCTGAGTGTATCAATAAGTTTAAACAGCTCCACTATCTCTGGACAGGATGGAGGGGAAATGCATCACAAGGCTTTACTATGACTAAAAGCTTGGTTTGCACTGCAACAACGTATAAACCAGCACTTTGCCAGCAAGTCTAACACCACTCGCCAATATTATTGCATAGCCTATTTGATTTCGTTTTTTTACCTGCTGTGCAAGGGGAGAGGTCTGCCTGCCCTTTTTCTCATCTCTAACAGGAAAGAGAGACTTCAGCAGCTTAGGCATCTGAGGCACGAAGGACTTTACAGGACTCAGGTAGGAAGCAGCAAGGCTACCAATACCTGTTGGAAAAATTAAAAAAAAATTAGAACAGTCATGCTTTTGGGAAAGGACAAGGAAAAAAAAAAAAACCAAAAAACAAACTTGATTCAAACGCCCCTTAAAAATTATTACAAAACTTTATCATTTTAGTCTAAGATGACATCTTCCAGCAGTCAAAGCATTAGATACAGAAAAGCACGGAGGCTGGCTCCTCCCTTGAAAGGGACATATGGATTTGGGTGGGTCTTAATCTGTGGCCCCAATATACAGAAGATTTTTTTTTTTTTTTTTTCCAAATCACATGGTGTGAAAAAGCTTGTTGTTTGCAATTGGACAATTGGAAACATAAAGTGCTTTATAACTTGCAGAAGCAGAAAAAAAACAAACCCAAGCAAGCAGCAAAATCAAAAAAGGATGTCCATACAACACAATTTTAACAACAATTACAAAACTTACTGGAAGTAAAAGATGAGAAGATCCAAGTGAAGAAAAAGAAAAAGATGTTAGGGGCATTCAAGTCTCCTTACTCATACTGCATTTTTTTCTATACTACTCCCCCTTGACAAAACCTAGGTAGGTATATAAAACATCACTATTTATCTCTGCACTCTCAGTTACGTATTAGGCACATTAGCTGCAAAATATCCATCCTGTTCCACTGCTGGTTATTTTCTAAAAACATTAGCAGCCTTACTGACTTTGCTGTTTTACTCAATTTGGCTGTAGAAATTGAACTACTGAGATAAAGACTGCATCTTTAGACAATTTTTAACATGTGGCATTTACCTCTCAGCAGAATTAGTATCAGATTGAAAGGAAAGGCTAGTTAGAATAGCCTAGAGTCTGAGTAACTTAGCCACAACTGCTGAATGTTCACAGAGAGGGACCTGCAAAGACATTGCTCCGGAGAAGAAATCTCTCTGCCTCTCTGAAAGCAGCTCAGCTGTATCTGACATTCAAGAGCTGCGGCAACTTCACTGCACTTTTAGGAAAGTTGTCTTGGCTTTAGGAAAATTCTTACCCGGATCAGGAGAGTGGTTTTGCTGCCCAGAGCCTGACAGAGAGGTACGAGATGGACTAATGCCTCTACTGGAATTTGTGGCACCTTGGGATACATCTTGCTGACTCTCCCATCGACCCTAGAGGAAAAAAAAAAAATTTTTTTTCAAATTTAGCATACCAGTGAGAGTACAGCAACACTTACATAGCATGCCAGCCTGTGCAGCCCCTTTGCAAAGCTCACAATGCACAGAGCTGAGGAAAGACCCTTCCCCAAAAGCATTTTTAGTGGAAACACCCAGTCCTGCAACAATGAGCACCCTCAGCATCGAGGCACAGGAAAAAGTCTACTTATAGACCTTAAAGCTGTAGTATTTCCCTCAACTATACAGCTGTGTTTTGGAAGTTGAGTACATTACAACCAGGTGAAAATAAAATAGTCTGCCCAAAATTCTTTAATATTTTGTGCACCTACTCTGGAAGCAGTCATGAGTGAAGGCTGGATGTAGAGTGTCAGAGAGAAGGGATGAGGACAGACAGAGCTCTGAACAGGAAAAGAAATAGGATCTTAGACCTAAAGGCTGGATGTCAGTGCCTAGCGGACAAGCTGATCAGGTCAAGAGGAAGCAACTGCAGTACTGCAACTTCTCTATTGCTAACAGAGAGAATCTCCAAGATAGTATTTCACACCAGTGCACAAGCATCAAGAATCTACGTAACCAAATGGTTTTTTCCTAACTCTATCATCTTGATATGTAAAGTCATTTACAGACTCATCTGCAATGATTATGCTAAGTGACTGGCCAGAGAGTGTCTCTGCTGAAAGTTTCATGTGGATACAAGACGGTATGTTCCTACACCAAACTGAGCTCTACATTAGGTGTGCAGAGCTGAAAGGGAGGTGCTGACATCCGTGTGGCTGTCCTGCAAACTTCTGATACAGGCACACTCGCAGTGCCTGCCCAAGTTTCTCTATACTGCTGAAGAGCAGGCTCTAATAAAGCTATATGTTGCTAATTTACTTAATTTATAGGAGACCTTAAGGCAATTCAATATCCGTTTAAGTCTATGGGTCAAAAGAATCTGGTCTCAAATGAGAGGAGAATTCTCAATGTCTGTGGAAAAGTGTTGTCCTGTTCAGGTAGCAGAGTGCCCTCAGGACTACAAGCTTGTAAAGTTTCACCTTTCCAAAAATAGAGGTGGCAAAGACAGGATGGTTCAAACCAACACAAACTGAAGTCTGATCTCACTTCTCGTAAAGAGTTATGCTACCTTTGGTACAGTATCTGTACTTGTCTGGATTATATTGTATCTGAATCTTACTTATTCTTTTAAAAAGATGTAACAGAAAGAGAAATATTTTCAGGAGATGATACAGCGAACATACTACAAAGGAGTCACAAGGGATGGATAAACCTGCTACATCCCAGACCACAAGTTTCATGTATTTTTTTTTCTGGAGGAAGAGCAGTGGGAAATGCACCTTTTCAAGAAGCTTCATGTTGTTGGATGCAAGGAAATAATACGACCTTGAACAGAAAAATGACAGGCAGCTAAACTAATCTTAACTGTAACTTGAAGTCATGAATGTTTCACAAATAATAAATAAGCCAGGATAGGAGGAATAGATTTCTCCAATGGGTTGAAGGTCACACTGAGCAGCCCAGAGCAAAAATCGTTTCCATTTGGATCTATAAGTTAGTCCCTTAGAAGCTCTCCTGCTTTGAATAGCAAGTAACTTGCACTTTTGCAGAGCAGTACCCGTCTTCAGCCCTCTACCAGCTAACATCCCTATTATCAGATGTAGAGACAGCAGGAGCTGTTTCTGTGAAGTAACATTTGGGATACCTAAAGGCTAACGGATGTCTGACTTCACTGGAGGCAGCCATTCTGAATGTCAAAACTGATATAACCCAGGCCGGGACTAGCAGTAATACCAGGGTTTTGTTTAGTCTTGTGTTTTTGAGGACTTTGGTGTTTAAGCCCTTCTTGAAAGCTTCCTGTTCTATCAGCATGGACGACAGAGCTGTTCTACCCATACCTTAAGCCCCCAACTTAAACATTGTCTTTGACCTGCAACTCATTTATCTTACACACATCAAAAAGTCATGTCTATGTCTGAAAAATTCTTTCCACAAAATGCTTCTATGAAACATTCTTTCCTATTCCACTCCCCAGAAACTCTTATTCAGGCTTTTGCAGTCTTGTGTTTCAACTAGTGCAGGTTTCTTTCAGGTGACCTTACCACGTGCAGTCTTGCCTCACTTCTATCCATTTAAAATATTGCTCAAGAAACTTCTTTCTTAACCTGCCATTATGATCATTTCACACATGGCAGCAGACACTGAAAGTCAGCATGAAAACAGCCAACGACTTCAGGCTATACTCAAACTGTCGTCCCCTTCAGGATGTGAAATGTTTCCTGGAATCTCCTTCTCCGGCTCCCACTGATGGGTTAAGTTTGCAGAAGAGTCAAAACATGCGAAAAGAGTTCATACTCTATCCAGCTGAGGAAAAATATCTCAGCATAATTCAGTATTTTTTGGATGCACCAGCTCAGTGGTGCAAAAAAAAAAAAAAAAAAAAAGACTATTCGGTGAGAAGTCATCACAAGACTCAAACAATCCTGAAATACTGTTTGGTCTTGTTGCCATCTGGTCTGCCATCAGCCTGGTAGATGTTGGCATTACGTTAAGAAAAAGAACTATGAAAGAGTGCAAGCATCTGAAAGCTGCTTTTTTGGAGCATATAACAAAGCTTGATTACTGACTTTTGGATCTTAGGATAATGATCCACTTACTAAAGACAAATGGAGAAAGGTGAAATGTCTTAATTTTCTAGCTATAAGGCCAAGTCTAAGTGCTTCTGGAGTCCAGAGAGATATAAAAACCAGAAAGACTATTATGGGAAAGTGTTCTAGCTTACTAGAACACCAACTCAATGCAGGTAAGGAGCAACTGAATCATTTTTGAATCACGATTTGTTGAGTCAGAAGTGCCTTTCATTGACTGTTCCAACAAAAATAATTTCAGGCAAGTATTTGACTTTCTAGACCTGTTTGGAGAAGGATAAAAAAAAAAAAAAAAAGGAGTATGTAAGAAATGGAGCAAAACACTTGCAGAATATTCATCCTGTACAGAAAGAATGGCAATGTTTAGTGACTTTTTCCTCAGGAAAAGCCTTTTTCCTTAGGATCTAGGAAATTTTGCTTCAGCCCTGGTATTATGGATGACTATATTTTCTACATAGTTTTAAATATTTCGCTAGGTTAAATAAAATAAAGGTCCTCTGGGAACAGGAATGTGCCTGTGATAAAAGGATTTGTCTGGCCATATATTTAAGGCATGTCGGGTTTTTAAATAACACTTGCTTTGGAGAGAGCAGAAAGATCATCATTTTAGACTGAAGGTGAGATTTTTTTGGGGGTAACGTGAGCCTCAACTCCAAGATGACAGTAAACCATTGAAAAGTAGGTAAATCAAGGCAACAGGTGGAGAAATATTTGCAAAAGAAAGTACCAGAGACAACTGAAAGGGTCAACTGTTGTGCAAAGAATCTACAGAGGCAAAAGGTAGTTCATGAATGATTGATTTTAATAAGCTGGACTGAAAGATAACCCATCTCAATCTCACAAAAAGAAGGAATATAAGAATTATTAACTATATTAACTTGATGAAGTTCCCAAGTTTCACATATTCATGTTATATAGCACTCTCACATGATTGCTTTGTGCATTCACTAACTGAAACACTTCAAGTCTAAGCAATTGGTATTATTTAAGTGCTGTGGATCTTTCCTCTATTATGGGTGGTGAGAGAAAGGAAGGAAGCTTGTAAATCATTTGCCCAGAGGAGCCATCATTTCATGAATATATTTGGTTTCTGCCAAGTGACCAAACAGAGGTCAAGTGACTTAATTTAACAAATCAAAAATAGCCACCGGAAGAATGCATGTCCCTTGATGTATTTTGATACAGAGCTGGTTATAAAGAGTTTTATTTCTAGAATACCTTCTCCTCCTTCTCATCTGCCTTCCCTTCTTTCACGCATCCTCCATGAAAAACACCAGGGGATTTATTTCGGGTTGGTACTGACACGCACAAAATCTTTAGAGCAAATATGGGTGATCACTACCTAAGTCATCTGTAGGCTTTACCTGACAACAATTCTTTTCTTGAAGTTGACAGACCAATAAAATGCTGCAACTGGGTAAGAAAAATGAACAGTTCTTGTGTTTTATTATTTTAGCAGTTCAGAAAAGGCTTAGGAAAAGGCAACCATGTAGCACTTAAAATACAATCATACAGTTGGGTCAAAAGGCACTTGTTCTCATGAACAGGAAGATTATTCAAATTGATCTACATGGTACCAATTTGGTGAAAAACACTCTGGTTCCCAGTAAAACCCAAAGGTTAAGTGCCACAGTCTTGTCTTGGCTTTTGGATAGAATTCTTTCGAGCTACAAACCACTGGAACTTTGGGAAAGGAAGGATGACTGTCAGACAGAATGGGTATTGTGCAAAGGTATTTTAAGAGTAACTCAAGAAATTTTTCATCAGCAGGTGATGATAGTCTGAAGGAAAATAAGTCAGAGGTGCCTTCCATTCTTTGTGCATCTGATTCATGCAGTTTAAGTCAACAGAATTTTTAAACTTCCAATGCAAGCACCCTGGAATGCAAAAATCCAGCTCCGTATCTTATTACCACTAAGAGACTCTATACTCCAGCATCACCTGACATGTGTTGATGTGCAAGGTGAAATAAAATTAATCTCACTCTCTTGTAACCATATCTGTAGTGATACCAGGAGTAAAAATTGGCTTTTTCTCATTTAAGCAAGCAGATGTAACTTAGAGGTGAGACCAAATGCAGTCCTGTTAACCCAATATGAAACATCCACAAGACTGTCTTCTGAAGTAAATTTAGGAGGCATCTCTCTGCCTTCTCAGCCAGTTAGGTAGCTTAATCTTATGAGTTATTATTAAAAAAATCCCGATGGTGACTTAAATATCTCACATGAATGCATATCTTAGCATGAGAGTCATCCTGCTCTTTGTAGTGTCAGTACACAGAGATATTCTTTAATGCTTTTTCAAAATGTGGCAAATCCACACCTCTGCTTCGGTCTTAGAGAAGGACTTTTCTAACTCTTCATGGGGATGTGTGACCACCCATCCATGTTTGGAGTAACAAAGATTCAACTATGGCTGCAAGATGAATCTGGGTCCTAATTCTGGAAACTTCTGATCTGCCTTGTTTTAGTTGCACCAACATCATCTTTACTTCTTGTTCTAACTTGTTTAATATTCTTGTTTACAGGGGAATGAGTCCTGGTTATTCATAGTGCTGAAGAATGAAGGAACTTTACCAGTATGAATGGTGCTTTACGTAGAAGAATGAGACTCAAGAGCCCTTTCCACAGAGCTAAAAAATCCATGGTAAAGACCGTCAGAATGCAAGGAATAATAATGTTAAAATTAGAGAGAAAAAGGTAATGGAATAAAAGGAGAGGAATATTCTGAAATGTGTTGAGGGCTTCCACTAACATTAAAGTACAGAGGCTGGACAGATTAATTCTGCACCAATTCAGGGTGCTGTTACTACCCTGTGACTGATGTTTCTTATGATATGATAAACCACTTGTTTGAGATTAGCTTATCATAGTCACTTCTAAAAACCAACTTCCTGGTAAAATAACAACTTATGACTGCTGGAGAAGACTTCTTTTTCACTAAAATTTCACCAAAATCTAACTTAATGAAACACCACATATCAAGCCATTCTCAGAATCTTTATGCTAAAATAGATAGGGCTGATACCACCAGCGTGCTTTATGATGTCTGTGTGCTATAGGAACATTTAAGAATTTGCTTAACGTTTCCATTGTGATTACAAGAACTTCCACTCATCTGCCTACAGAAACTGAACCAGAGATCCATCTGAAACCGAAAAATTCTAATTGGAGTTTGCACCCTCCCGCATCCCGAGTACCGAGTGCCTGGACACGCAGCACACTGCAAGCGAGGAGGTAAGCTACACAATCACAGCTCCACGTGCCTCTAGCACAGGGGGTCTGTCAGCAGCTCCAGCATGGTGAAGAGCTGCAAAACTCCATGCAAAACACTACTTGTCAACTCCAGTTAACCAAAGCTTGGTACAACTAAGGGGAAAAAAAGAGTCATTCCTCCAAGACTGTTAACTTGCTATTAAAGGATAAACATGTTTCCATTGGCCCAGTATTAATTTAAAATCATTCTTTCATACAAATCAAGAGTTGTTAACACTGAACTATTTGAAGTGTGAGAAAGATTTGGAAGAAACTCTCAACGTTTATCTCCTCTCCAGGCTAATGTACACGACTGGTATATATTTGCTTGCTTTCACGTCCATCTTTCTGGGTTTTTTTAGCCAAGAAGGGCCATTTTTGAAATAGCTTCACCCTGTTCGAAGAACTGTGAGAAATGGTATTAAATAGCTACGGCTCTGTAGCAAACCAGAAGATGCACCCAAGAAGGAGAAGCTTCTCTCATTTGTACCAGTTTCACACTGCATTAACGACAGGCTTTTCAATGGGAAAACTCATTTGCTGTGTACTATTGCAAATGACACACCACCAGCAGCATCTTCAAAGCAGGAAGTAAAAGCAGGTAAGTGAGCAAAATAAACTTTATAGTGAGATAAAATTATTATCCCACTCATTAGGTGGACCTAATGCATTACCTCTGCTGGGACCTTTGGACTCTGAGACATGCAATAAGAGAAATCATTGAGGGGAAGGGAGGAGAAAAACAGAAATCATTAGGAACTCTGGTCTTCAATTTTTCCTTTCAAAACCTACAATATTGAAACACCCCACAGTTCTCTCCAAATAGAAGTTGCTATAAGCACTTTATCACCTGCACATATTTTAGCATTCTCTACATGGATCAGATGTAGCAGATTTAGCAACCAATGCTAGAGCACTACATCAAAATTCTATTATTCCTTGCAACTGCATTATGCATTAAAATGCCTTGTCACCACTAGATTCTCTCTTTTAAAATGACTACACGCTCACTGGGCAGAATATCTATCAGGAAAAGCCCCTTCAATTTATCTAGAATTTGGAAAATAAGCTTAAATGTAATCTTTCGCTTTTTAAAAAAATACTTTTGATCTATACTGTTGTTTTTAAGGAGTGTAATGGGCTGAATTATCATCCAACACAAGCTAAAGAGTGATGGTTTCCCTCTGAAGGTCAGAGACTCTCTTTGTAGGCCTCTACTCTCTTCTAGAAGTGGTCCTGAACTTACATACGAACCCAAACCTGTCCTTTACCCAGGAGGTTTGCAGGTGAATGCTTTGGAAGAGCTCTGAAACTTGACAATGAGAAAATTTCCCCTGATAAATGCACTCCTGTGTGATGGATGGCTACTTTTAATCTCACCTGCTCAACTCAGGGCTGCCACAGTACATCCCACAGAGGCTGGCAGCAGCGTTACATGACTGACGAAGTCCTGAGAACTTTCCCAGAGAAGTCTAGTGTAGCACAACCAAAGCTAATACGTCCTAGGGACAGTCCCAAGGATAAAAGGGTGCCTCGTCTCTTAATGGGTATTTCCCACTTATGCCCCTGTAATTGGTATAGTTCAGACACTGTCATCATCTTTTGTCTACAGAAGACCCAGGAGACCTTCAGGTACTTACCCGGTTACTGCTCAGGTTATAGGGGGGTGCCAAGTCTTGGCGGCTTCCAGAAAGCTGAAATAGTTAAGACAAGCAGAATTATTTCTTAACTAAACTTAAACAATGGATAAATATGCCTCTTGACAAACACACAGAAGGGTGAAAAGAGTTTTGCAGTTAGAGCAGAACTGAAATCCAAGAGGTGAAAGGTGAAATCCCAATTATTGACCTGGAAGGAGCCAGAATTTGACAAGTTTGATTACCAGTTCTATCAAAGGATTTCTTTCCAAATTTTGGACAACAGAAATTTCATCCTTCTTATGCACAACACTTACAAAATTTACGTTCAGCAAATACTTGTAACTTGCTTTCAAATCTTCTAAAGAAAAAAAATCTTCAGCTTGATAGCTAAATGAAAAAAACCTCCAGTGTTCAGGAAAAAATAAAATAAATAAATGCAGAAGTAGGTTTTTTGTTGCTTTTTCAGATAGTCTGGATTTATGGGTACTTTCAAGCATACTAGCCCGTATGATGAAAGCAGGAATATGTGCAGATTTTGTCTCCACTTAGCGATTTACATGCTCACAAATAGCACAGACAAACAGAAGGGTCAAACTGAAGGAAATTTATTGCTTTACTCCACAACTCTGGCATCATAGGAACCTGTAATTGAAAGACTGGACCTGCTGCCCTCAATATGCTGCAGATGCCAGCATGGAACACTCACCCGATTCACATTGGGAGAGCTCAGGCTCCTGCGGTAGAGTTTTCCTTTTCCCATCAGCTGCTCTTTTACAGCAACTTCCTGACAATCATAGAGAAGTAAAACAAAAAAATTAGGCATGTTTTACAAGTATCTAAGCTCCAATCATCCCAGGGTAGTTTTGCCTATACAAGAAAAATGTTTCTAAACAGCTTTATTGCACAGGCTCCTGTCTGTAAAGTCTACTGTAATCTAAAACTTGCATGTAACGTGGTAAGAAGTGTAAGAGTGGATAAACTTTAACATCTAATATTTTACTGATCGGCACACAAAATTTTATGGCTAGTTCTGAGTCTAGATGACTTACAGATGCAAAGAGTAAGACTCCCTTTCCTAGCTGAGCTCCTATTTTAATCCTTTAAACTAATTAGATACGACAGAGAACTTGCTTTCAATACTTAAAGAGTGCATCGCACTTCACCATTAAATTTATAGTAGGCAGGCACATACTCCAGCTTGTTTTGCATAACTCACTTTTGTGCTTGCATAATTTATACCCAGAAGAACAATTTTCAATAAATGTTTCTCTCTCCTGCATTTTTCCTGGTAAACAGATCAAGTTACAGTACTTAAGATTAACCCAATCAATGTCCTATTTATTGATAGAACTGGTTTGGTTACTTCAAGGTAGAATATGGGCAAAATGACAAGAATTATACTAGCAACTTCGGAAACTATTACTAAAGCCCAAGCTTCAGAAGCAAAAGCTAATGCCACACAACTACTTCTTCTGAACCATAATTAGCAATGCACAGCCTTAAAAACAAACCAAGCATCCCATAATAGTGCATTTAATATAAAGCTCCCAGTCCCATCCATCCACATTGCAGGTAGTTGAATGAGAACATCTCTGTAGAGAGCTACATTTGCTTCTTTGGATGTTTGCCACAGGCTCACTTTGCACAGCTGAGGTCTGCACTGAAGTGGTGTGTTTGGTTTGTCGGCCATTGTAAGCACTTAGGAGAAGGTGTGCGTTGCCATACACTGCTCACAGTAAGTATATTCTCTGCTATCTGCTACAGCCTTAAAAACCAGACCTGGCGCAGACGATCCAAGGTGAGAATATTCTCCACGGCCAGCACACTCCGCAGGTACTTCTCGATATAGGCTTCGGAGTCAGCTGAAGCTGCATCTTCAACATTTGCTGCCATTCTGGCTAGTGCCTCCCGCTCTTCAGCTCCTTGAGCATCCTAGGAAGATGAAAAGAAACGTCATCCTTTTAAAGTAAAATAAAAATCTCCCACAGCAGTCCTGAAGAAAATACATTTTTTTCAAACATGTAGGACAGATTCAACATTGTTTGCCCTCAAGCTCAGGGGCAGATTCAGATGTCTTACTGGAGATTTCTAAATATAAGCCTCATTAAATCAAAGGAACTTGTGCCATGCAAACTGCACGGGTGCTCCTACCACTGTCACAGACATCTCAAGCTATAACATGGTTACTGTTCTTTTGATTTTGCCTTTTTTTAGGTCGTTGTTTTTTTGGGGGGGTTTTGAGAGTCTCACAGTGAGACATTGCCATTGATTAGCAAAAGGGCTGCATTCAGATATTTTGTAATTAAAAAGTGCTCAAACACATCCAGGGCATTATCTGTACTGTGAGGAAAACAAAATTTCAAGTGACTTGCAAGAGAAAAATAGAACGCTGCTTGAGAAACATTTCAACACAGAGTGCTAAATACAGCAGAACATAAAAGACAGAATCAGGCAGCAATCAGACTTTTGGCTCTTCACGTGTTAATGTTTTTACAAGTGCTCTGATAGAGCATCTGTTTGGAAGGAAAGGATTAGCATCTAACTAGGAACATGCTCAGGAATCAAGAGTTGCATAAAGACATTACTTAGAAAATGCCAATTTGTTATTTTTCACATGTTCTCATGCTCCCCACATCAGGCACTTCACCCACCCATCTTTACTACCCTTTCCTCTCTCTTTAAAAATGTTTCTTCAAGGACCTGAGCAAATAGATGTTCACTCAACAAAATGCATAGTGACACTGATAAGACATAGGTTGCTGCTAAGTCACAGCATGTAAAGGAATATGCTTAATCTTTTATAAGAACCACAGTTTATGCTTGCAGCAGCAAGAACTAGCATGCTCAAAATAAGGGGGGGTGGGTGGAAATCAGAGTCAGATACTCTCATTTCTTATTCACCTCTGGAATATTTGAGACTATCTCAAAAGTGACACCACAGCCAGGAATGGAACTTCGGTGAGACATTCTTCGGAGGAAACTCTGTGCAAAACCCTGTGGGGAGGAAAAAAAAAAAGAACGTATTTCTTCCTTTAAGGAAAACATGGTTTAACATATTTCAACTGAAGTAAATATAGCTTACAAAGAAAAAAGTACAAATCCAAGAGATTAGCCAATAAATATGTTAGAGTCAAAGATTTTAACTTGGAGATAAATCATTTGCTTGTCGGTATTTTAGATACAGAGGAAGGATTAACTTCTTTCATTGCAAGGTGACTGCTTAACCAGCACACAAAGCATTTGCCAGTTCTAGAAGGGGTTTGGTTTTTTTTTTTTTGGTAGAGCCCTACATGACTTGTCTTGAATATTGACAAGTACAGGCATTAAATTCTTGACCAAAGAGATCGTTATGAAGAATGATTTAAGGGGGCATGGTCATTGTTTATGCTGACTTGGCGCCTTGCAGGGTTAAGAACTGGACTGTTGAATTAATGCAGAGATGAGTCATTCAAAGATGCTGCTGAGACGAACAACCGGGAAAGGTTATTGACGAGGATTTTTAGAAACCTAACAAGAAAGCCAAAGATTCCACGTCGAATAAAAGTAAAAAACATCACTGATTAAATCTGTAGGAAACAGAATTGATGAAGACTTAACACAATTGTAATTATTGGCACGCTCAATTTATCTATTGAATACACTCTTCCATTCTACCTGACAAAAAATTCACTGTTTCCTTTCTGAGAAAAAGCTTTTGCCTGACTTAAGCACTAAGAGCTGTAGTTCTTCTATTCCTAGCACTAAAAGCAGTTTAGAGTTGCCTACAGGGCTGCTGGGTGTGACCACACCTCTTCTGCTCTTGCTTCAGATTTTAACTACAGATGTGCAAACAGAATAACAATTCAGGCTTTCTGCTTTGTCATTATCACTGATAGGGGAAGCTGGATTCTGAGACAATGCTGAACAAATTCTTCCTTGTCATCTTTCTCAAAAATCAAATAATTTTCAGCACACGATGCTGCAAACGGAATGACAACCTTCTGCTTTCCATTTATCCAACATGCTGCTCTCACTTACATGTTATGGTAAGAGCACAAGCCAACTGGAAAACATAGAAGGCCAAGAGTGATCAACTTAAACTACACAAGGGGACCTGTGTTCCAGCTATTGCTGGTTTATCTCTATATATCTCAATGCATAAATAGAAATGGTTAGCAGTAATGTGTGAACATACTGGAGGAGTAGGGAAACACACAAGTTTCTCCTGATGTGTAGTTTTTGCAAAACATGAACTCCAAGCTCAGGAGAAGTTAACTCTACTTTACCAGTGATGGGGGATAAAGCACTTAGTAGTTAACACAAATTAAAAGCAAATGTCTCATAATTAGATGCCCTTAAGCCTTTAAAAAAAGCTGCATCATCATCCGCAATATAAAAGATACTATGAAAATTACTTGGCAACTTAAATCTTGATGCATGCCATTGATACAGTGCTCCCATTCAGGCAGAGATGAAAGTAGATACAGGAAAAAAAGAGATACAGCAGCAGCATATTGCACAAATCACAGCAGTGATAAACACAGAGTGGAGTGAAAGTGTGAAGGATTATAAAAGATATACCTGTCTGCCATACACATTAACACAAATGCGCTTGCGTAACACTAATTGCATTTCTGCAGGATGGCTGAGCTGGACAGTGGCTCTCACAATAAGGTAAACTCTTTCATCTGCTGCTGTTCCTTTACTGAGCTGGATACAGTCGTGGACTGTGGAATCCCATGAGGCTTCTGCTTTCACCTGCAAAGGAAAAAAAATGTATCCTCTAATAAGCATAATTAGGTGTATAATTAACTGTAATTAATTAAGCATAATTAACAAAAATACATAATACATAAATTTTGAGAGTCAGCTTCTCCATTTCACTCCCTATGAAGAAAAATCCCTGCACTTTAGAAGAGGCCATTTAAAAATCAAGATCAGTTTGCCAAATGAAGACGTTGGGATTAAAAATGCCAACTTGCTCAAACTCTGGAACATTTCCTCTTGAAAAAAAGATCCTTGAATACCCAGGATCATTGCAAATAAATTATAAAATATGCAGAACTACAGGACCATTTGGCCTAATTTATTAAGATAAACCAGAGAGCAAGAGAGATTGCAGTGAAAATCTTCCATCATACGACATAAACTCTCTTGTCTGTATTTGAGAAAGAACTTTGCTAAAAAATTTCTAGCAAAAAGCTAAAGCCGGAATTTCTCTTCTTGAATGTTAAAATATAAGTATTACTGAAGATTTAAAAAAACTGGCCTGGTAGCTATCTTCCCAAGCTTTAAAAACAAAACAGAACAAAAAAACCTAGGAAAACCAACAGGAATAAAGCTCCTCTAAAAATATAAAAAGAAGTAAGTTTCAGAGTGAGAAGCAAAATTTTAAGGTTAAATAAAAAAAAATAAATCAATCAGACATTCTAAACTTAATAGCAAAAACTATAAACCAACAACTGTAAAACTGTAGAACTATGCGCTATGTGGCCAAATGGAGTATAACGAATGTAACAGCGCAGAAGTAAAGATGTTAACCATAGCAACAGTTAAGATTGTTTGGTTTTTCAGCTGAGGGCTTCCATACTCTGATTTGCTCAGGGAGTTTGTTTTGTTTTTTTCTTTTTTAAACAGGAACTCAGAATCCCAAGCTTCTGTAATGCTTGGATTTAGATGAAGGAAGACCCTTGTCAAATCATGGTTATACTATCAAATATTCCTTGAAAACACAAAGTCAGTCATAAAAGAAACAAGAGTTGTATCGTTTGCATGCCATCTTTGATGCATTATTTTCACATCTGAAGATATAAGGAGAGCAATTAAAAGACTCCTAACCTAAATATACCAGTCTGCATCTCTGCTTACCTCACTATCATGATGCTTCACAATCTGCAGTTCAAAGAATTCCTCCTCCTCTTCTGCAACAAGAGTCGCATCCCACCCACCCGCTTCAGGGTCATCAAGGTTATCTTGGGAACTGAAGTCATCAGCTAGAAACAAAGGTGAATGCAGAAGGTGAGGAGACACAAGCGATTATTCTTTTTAAAAACATTCAGCAAGTCACGAATTCACATTTTCATCACTAACTCCCCAACCTGGCTACTTACACTCTACCTACAAAAGAAGAGCTCCCCACTTTGTTCCACTTCAGAAACAATCCCATTTCTAAACAGAAAGTGTGCACAAAGATCTGGGGACACAGACTCAAGCCTGCCTTATAGAGTCCTCTATTGTGCAGGAATCTCTCCCACTCCCAGTTGTAAACACCCCCTCCTTGCCCGCAGGTGTATTTTCAGCACTGCTGCTCAACCACACTACATACATTGCTCATTTGGCATTAGTTAGGTGCTGTGGTTTTTTTAAAAGACAAGCTGCTGGTTGAACAAATAAAAATACAGTACTTTTAGATCATAATTAAACAAAATCTGTTTTTTGAGAAGCTTAACCTGTTCTGGCTCGAGTCCCTCACCATGAATGAATTATTAACCAGCTCCTCTCTGAAGCCATTTGATGTATCAATGTGTTTTTTGAGGTGAACAAACCATAAATGTAAACAGCACTGCAGCAAAGCCCTCCTGACAACAGGCAGAACGCCACCTCTCCACTCTCACCTGATGCTTCTCATCCAAGTGTTAACCCTGTTTTTAACATCCTGACAAGGATTTGCTCAAGTGATTAGGTGCTGTTGGCTCCCTGCACTACTTTCGGGGTGCTGCTTTCTTGGCTACAATTTCCCATTTTTGGTAGAAATATCTGACAAATACGTTGCTCAACTTGGATCTTGCATTTGGATGTACTGAAACATACATTGTTTAAAGAAACACTTACTCTGCCAAACTAATTTGAGCTCATCATGCCATGCTTTTTTGACATGCAGGCATTATTAACCAGTGATTTCACATTTTCTTCTAAGTCATCAGTAAAAAAAATTATCGGATGTAGCATCAGTGCTATATCCTTGTGAGACCTCAGAAAGAACATTCCTAACAATAACTACTTCTTTACACTGGCTTTTGCCGTTTGCTCCCTCAGGTGCACTTATTTGACTATTTCTCTTTTACTTATTAAATATCTGCAAAACACTGGGATTATTAAAATCTATGGTTCCTTCTATATATAATGCTGTGTATTCTGAAACATTAAACAGTATGTTTCAGTGAAAAATGTGCACTCTCAAATTAATCTACCTGCCATTCTGGGCTTTTCTTCATTTTATTAGCTTGCTGACATTCTAAAATGTCATTGGTTGTACAAAGTTTGTTTCAGACTACTCTGTCATTTTAAGAACCACTTACCACTCAAGTCAAGGAAAATAACAGGAATATGAGTTTCCATACCAGGCACAGGAGTCCTAAAATGTAAGACAGGGACAATGGCAGCATTTAACCTAACGCAGATTTACCCAGCACACGATACAAGCCCACATTACATACAGTACAACTGCAATTTTAAGCCAGACCATTGATAACCTTGGCAAATGGCTTTCTTTTAATTTACTGCTGCAGATTCCAAGCGACTCAACTAAACTGGTATTTCTTTTATACCAGATCTCTTACAAGTATTATATTCTTTGACCTCTGCTTACAGAAATGTTTTCTCCCTCTAAAATGTTCATACTAAAATTAAGTTTATTTACTCTGACACACATTTATTAAACACAAACCCCTCGGCATTGGTGATGGCAGTGAAGACAGCAGAGTAAAAAAAACAGAAAACCCAATGCCGAAGTTTTTAAACTAACATTGATGCTGCCACACGACACAGTTACTACTCCTTCTTACAAAACACACATATTTTAAGAGTCAAAGCTGCCATTTAAGGAACCTTTCATATCATGGAAGAAGGGGTAACACATTTGGTATTTAGTTTTTAAAATTAAATATTCCATGGCCTAGCACTTTTAAGCTACACAACATTAAAAAGGCACTAAAAATGTAACACGAAGCATGAAAGACTTTAAGACTCCTTGTTGCAATTTTAGCTGTAAATGTGGCCATGTCATGACAAACTTGGACTTGATGAACTTTACAGTCAACAAGGGCAGGCTGGAGTCTTATGTAATGTGTAAGGTGTTTGAATCATACTAAACATTTCTCTGGGGCAAATGTGTTCAAAACAGATTCTTCCTCAATTAAGTTTCCTGCAGCTCCACTGTTTTCAAACCTAGTCAAGCACTTTGATGTGAAAGTTGACGTGTTTCCAACAAGCATTTGCCATTTTGATGTTTCAGAAGTACTAGCTTTAACAAATTTCAGCTTAAAGCTCCATGACATTGTATTCCATCAATAAATACTGTTAGAGGTTTGCTCAGGAAAAAAATTCCAGAAAGTTGAAAGCAACTGAAGACAAGAGGTTTGAAGTGAAACAACCTTGCTTCCTTATCTGCAGTTGTTACTCACAGCTGCTGCAGTAAGGCAATCTCAGTCCACCGTAGTTTACTATTTTTAACATTTAGAAAATTACATGGCGCACTTGCTGGATAAACAGACTTTGCGCTCAAACCAGGAGCACAACAAAATCTTCCAGTAGATGCAGTTTTATTAAGACAAAGCAGCCTTTTAAGCGAATGAACTAGGTAATTAACATATTAGCTAATTTTTTAAAATGGTAAGTGCAGTGGTAATAAATATTGATTCCATTTTTTCAGAAGGTCATAATTACACTCTGATCAATAATAGTATCGTTTACTAAATAGCATTTCTGGATTTCAGATACATGGCCTAATAAAATAATTTAAGCAAGAGGCCTAATTTTAACAACTTTGCTCATACAGTGTACAGAGGTCAGATTAAGGAAAGCAAAAAAAAAAAAAAAAAAAAAAAAGCAACAATCCAAGGCAGGAACAGGCCATGCATCATTTTTACATTCGTTCTTGCATGTGGCAATGTATGTTCGTACCACTCCGCTGGAGCTCCAGGGATCCCACTGCCAGCAGAAGGAACCATTACAGCATTCCTCTCCTCCGTGAGCGTTAGCCTCATCTCTAAAAGCTGTGCCTCCCGATCTGCATCGTCTTCTGTTTTATCTGCAGAAGCAGGACATCAGTCAGGACAGAGAGTATTTCTTACTCAGTGCTTTTATCACGTGTCGATGATCTTATACCATCCATAACAAGAGTAAAACCCACTCTGATCAGAAATTCAGCACACAGAGAAACACAGAGCATACAAGAACAACAAACAATTTCAGATAGGCGTCTCTTACTTTGGTTTCACTGAAAGCAAATTACCAGCGAGTCAAGTCTCAACTCTCCATTAACTTCTTTTCTAAATTTTACAATATATCAAGATAAAAAGTGTCTGCATAAGTGTCTCAACTTACCACTGTTGTTACCTTTGAGAGTATTTTGCTTACCAGGCTTCCCAACGAGCTTTTGCAACTGCTGATCAAGATACTCCTGACGCTTTGTTAAGGCACACAGCCATTTCCGACGGAGCCTCTCCAAATCCCTATCCTGTGAAGAGGAAAGTGGTCATGTTAAATATTGACCCAGGAAAGCCAAGGTTTCCTGTTTGTGGCTTACACATTTCCTCAACCCTTCTGCTCATCCTGTACCCAAGAAGCAGATAAGACAGACAGAGTCCAACGAGTCACTTAGCTCTTCTCTATTTTCTTTTGTGCAGGACAACTTAAACAGAAACACAGAATAGTTGAGGTTGGAAAGCACCCCTGGAGATTGTCTAGTCCAACCCTGCTCTGTGCCCGAAGCAGGGTCAACCACTGCAGCTTGCGCAGTTGGAATCTGAGTATGTCCAAGGATGGAAACTCCACCCCAAAAAAAAAAAAAAAAAATTACATTTCTTATGTAGAGAGTCGGTGTCTCTTGTCCATTGACTGGATACGGCTGAAAAGAGCCTGGCTCTTTCTTCTTTACACCTCCTCATCCACATACATTGACAAGATCCCACCTGAGCCTTTTTTCCTCTCAAGGTTAAACAACCCCTGTTCTCTTATCTTTTTATCTCAGGTCCAAATCTTTAACTTTCCAACTTTATTTGAAGTATTTTCACTTGCCAGCCTGAGGCATCTCTTTCTCTAGCTGTTATTCTGTACCACCCAGCTAAATAAACTTCACTTTATACATCCTGTCCCCCAAACTAGTCTAAAACTCACCAACCACTACCTTGCAGCACAGCTGGAATCCCCAGTCCTTACCCATGACTCACCATCACACTCAGTGTTTAGCAGCCTCGTATTAAGGATCCATCCCTGCCCTGCATCACGCCACTGTCCCTAGTTACAGCATTTGCAACTAAGCCTTATAAAATATTTTTTCTTAAATGCTCATGTCCTTCAAAAAACCCACCTCGGTATCCTTAAGAACATTCTGTTCATTTGTCTCTGGTGCAGAAATGCTCAGAAATGATGAATGATACTCTACATGCAGCATGTTGGGTGCCACAAAGATGAGCTATCAGCTCTGGGATGCCTTCAGGCAAGTCTCTTTTATGGCAACAGCCGTTCAGATTCGTTCCACATCAAACTAGCAAACACTTTGTCAAGAAAAATGGGTGGATGTAAGACTATAAAACTACAGTTGTATTACTCACCCGTAGACTCCTACAAATATGCTGGAATCTGTCAAAAAGCATTAAACCTAAATCTCTGGTTGCTTGCATTATACAAAGTTGAGATCTATAATGACGATGATGTGCTTCTGTTAAAGTTATTCACAACGAGATGAAAAATATATCACAGATAGTGTACCTCATCAGTTCCCCTCTAAGGTTCATGTTACTGTGACATTACACACAAACAATAGTGTGCTGATGTCATTAGTTTTATCACTACTGTCTTAAAGCTCCAGGAATCCCCCTTGCTTGCCCAAGGGTGGATTATTTATGCACCATACTCCAGCTCTCATACACATAGCACATTCATAATATGAAACAGCGTGAGGTATTTTGACTGCATCTTTCAACACTGCCGTGTGCCTATTCTTGTTCTTAATGAGGACAATCTCAACCTAACCAGAGTTTGCCAAGGAGGAAGACTCCTTCCCCCAAAACACCAAAAGCAAAAAGCAACTGTTTGGAAATACACATTAAGGCATCTTGTTCTTTTGCTTCTCTAATGCACCACATGGCTTTGCAGCATAACAATCTACGATTCTATGACTCTATGCTATTCTTGAGCTTTTAGTCTCTTCAGAAGACAGGCTCTCTGCATATCCAACCAGTACTGCAAAGAGAAAATGCTGATCTTCCTCTAACATGTTTTAATCTGAAAATGTCTGAGTTTGTAGAAAGAGAAAAATCAAATTTTTTACCTGATAACTGTCCATTTCATCCTCTTCTTCCTAGGCCAAAACATGCAAAGCCATGTCATTGGATTTTTTTGATAGTAGGAAACACGTTGAATGCAAAAGGTGTAATTATTTTAAGCAGTATTAGCAGTCTTAAATAAAACTCCGAGCTTAGCAATGGTATGATCATAGAATGAAAACACATTGACATCCCAGAGATCTGCTGCTATCAGCTCATTTAAATACAAACTAGAGCAATCCAACAATTATAACAGATAAATTTCACAGAAATATAGCTATTAGAAGTCTTCATAAATGGAAGCAACGTGGAATACTTAGATTAGCCTAAGAAAGAAACAGGAGTTACAGCGAAACAACTTGAAATCTGTTAAACCTGGGCAGCAAGGAAAAACGTGCTGCTTTACCTGAAAGAGTTCACTATGAATGTTACAGCAAGCACTGAAAAATCGAAGTCTGGCATAAAGGATTTGAGGTAAGCTTGCTGTAGCATTTAGAGGAGAAAGAAACCTGTAAACATCTAAGCCAATTGTTAGGGAGTTAGAATAACTCTGTCTGCCACACCAGGAGTTGCAATGTAGACCTTCGACATTTTGATTTTCTGATGGGAGACACCACCTTTCATGCTTGACATTCATCACAAGCAGAGCCACTTGCAATGAGCCTAAGCACAACTGCCACTCCTGCACAGTGAACTGAAAAGCAGGGAGGGCTCCAATCCTCACCGAGTTATTACATATCTATTTAAGTAATAAGAAGCCACTGGAGCCTACTTTTGTATCTTAATAATGAAAGCCAAAACGTAGCCAAGATAAAATTAAAAAGCCATATAGAAGAGGCATTTTTCTTAGTTCAAGGTCTTTAGAAAAATCTTTGACATTCCGCAGATACCGATTTACTCAAGATAAAGAAATGCTAATAAGGGGACTAAAAAATCCAGTTGGTCAAGTCAGAAGGCTATTGTAAGCAACAGGACTAACAAAACATGGTTTTCAATAGCCCTTTCCCAGGTGGGTTATCAGTGTCAGACACAACTCGCTAGTCTCTCTCTCAAGCGGAGCTTAAGTCTTTCTTTTTGAAGTAATGTAGTATTTTTGTGGATTGTCAGCTCTGTTGGACGCAGTTGACACTGGTCAGGAGATGAGAAATTCACTGGGGAAGAAACAGGGTGAGACAGACAGGATGCTCACCTGGGACTTATCCCCTTAAGGAAACAGGCTAAAAGGGGCATGTGTATATTGTGGGTGTGTAATAGCTTTCAAGTAAAATTTGCAAGAATCAATCACTGTGTCTCAGAAGCCTCTTAAGAAACTTGTTCTGTTCAGCAGTAGGAGAGAAACTCCAGCTTACTTGCTTTGTAGGCTGTGG